AGCCAAAAAATTATACGCGTTTGCTGTAAGATTATGACTCATGGGTCCTCCCTAGGCATTCTTTTTTAAAGACTGGATCAATATATCTGAACTTTTGACAGCTAACTCAAAAGAATTCTGTCACAATACATGCCAATTATATCAAAATAAAAGGAAAAACTCTTACCAAACTTTTACTTATTGAGGTTTGGTTTCCACTATGATTGAAATCAAAGGTGGACATTTCATATTCACAAAATAGTGCAGTCAGATTGGTCAAAAGTTTTGCTCACTGGATGTCAAAGAAAACCCCACTGCTTGATAGTAACCTAATTCGACTGTGACCACGACAGTCGATTGATTTGCTGCAGTTCCATCATGACAATCATTTATTAGTATATTGATATTTTCCATGCTCTACTTAAGTTGAGCATGTGTATATGAAATTCCAATCAATATAATAAAAAAGAAGAAGAAAGAATATGCAAATAATACCAGAAAATCAAGATAACATATGAATTTTACAAATTTAGGATATTTTTGTTATGATTTATCTGTATGTATGGTGATAATCTATGATTTCTTTCGTCTAACTCTTTCAATACTATTTTGGGAAAATATTATTCACAGAGTTAAAAGATTTACTTATGATCATTTTTTTCAAAAAAATAGTCAAAATTCTACCATTGATATTTAACATCTTGCTAGAAAAACCACTCATGAATTTCCAGGAATTTGAGTATTTCAAATAAGATACTACACATACCGTTTTCTTTTTTCGGAAGAAATCACTTCACACATTTTTTATGATGCAATTCATTTTTTGGGATTCATAATCAATTTCCGTGTTATCCTTATTTCTGTATTGACATCATCCCCTTGTTCTAGAACTTGGATCTTGCAGAAATCGAATGTTTCAGGAATAGTAAAATGAATATATTATAAACAGCACGAGAGATTTTGAAATGTGTTTTTCTTTACCCGAAAGAAATCTCGCATGAGGTGCATGATTTCAGATGTTCCGAAATCATGCACCTCATAGGCTAGTTACACACTAGTCCTCTTACTTGGCTTCCCCACGTTCTCGTTCCAGGGCCTAGCGCCCTACACTTGGTGATCTTGTAAAGGGAATCGGGGGGCAAAGGTATACACTCTTCTCTCCAGGTTTCAAAAGTGCGCTCCTCCACTACCTCCTTACTTTATCTATGTTACGTTGAACGAGTTCCCTTGAGCCACTTTTATTTCCAGTCAGATTGAGTTTCTTTCTCCCTTGTCTTATCTCCGAATGAAAAAAGAATAGAAACACGGCTCTCCCATGTGGGACAGGGAGGACATAACCAAGAGACTAGATTCGAAAGGGAGTTTCAACTTCCTGGTTGATGCATTCTTCTGTTGTTCTGTAGCTGCACAACATGTACATGATGGAAAAGTGGCATCGTCTTGCCTTCATGTGCATTGTTCAGTCAAGTTTGAACTTTACGGAGACCGGGAGTTTACGAGCTCCTCCTTATCTCCCTATTCATATGCACTTATCTAGAATAGACACCCTGTCAAAGGTGGAAGGGTTTACCGGTATCTCCACGTAAATCTGAGCTTGACTTTTTCAACTTCCATTCGATCTCAGGGAAGCGCATATGTAAACCTTTCCGAAAGTGGAGTTGATATACTCACCCACTTGATAAAGACTATCGCAATTTCTTTTCTGATTAATATGTTATCTTTGACTGCGAGTTTGTTCGTATCTCATCGAGGTCTATGTGACAATGCTATTGATTTCGGTTATGCTGCTATTGTACAGCTATTGGATTCATGATACAACAGCAAAATTCTGCTGTCCCTAAGAGTTTCATCACCCGAAGCCAATGGTCATACCAACTTGATTATATCATACCATCCAATTGTTGGTCAATTGCTTGTAAGGAGTCATGGCAAGCTATAAGCTCAGCTCGGTCAAACTTTTCTAAACCATGATAAGTACAGTCAATACCTTGCAGAATGTAGTCACATACGTCCAAAGGAATCTTCAGTTTTTCGAGATAATTGTGAAACATGACAACTTTATATCATGTGAGGATTATTCCCATTCAAATTTACCAATTCAAAAAGTTAACATATTCGTCTGGGATAAAATAGTGTAGCTTCTCAATATCTGCATTCTCTCCAATGGTTCATCACCCTCATAATTTTTTTCCCACGAAAAGGATTAGATAGTATAAAAAAATATGATTATTGAAATATCCAAGCTTTTACCTATCGAGCTCATTTGCAAGTAACACAAAGGTAATCATATATGTGTACAAAGGAGCGCTGCTTCTCTTAGCTCCTCATAAATTTAGTCTCTCAAAAGCACATTCTTGCACCCACTAATGAATCGAGGTCTTGCTAATCCTGATTAGGAAAACAATCCGTCTAAGCCAGTCAGGGATCACCCATCCGCGAAACTGGTAATTCCTTTGGATCATCCCTAATCTGACGGGGAAACAGCTATAACTTGCCACGGTGGAAAAGAAACAAACCTTGTGTTCTGGACGTCAAGCCCGATGAGATCTAATCCCTCTATTAGCCCTTTCGACGGTCCAGATTACGTCTCATTGTCAGATCTCTGACAATATGGTGACAAATCAGAGCCTCTCCACAAGAAGATTCCCTAAAAAATGATAGATGGCTAGGAGGACTACCTAGGCCTACGGCCCTACTCTCTCCTAAAGGTGTACAGTACGGACTCAGGATCATCGGCCCCACCTGATGGCCGTTGGACCAATTTCTCCCAGTCAAGTTTTCCATAACTGTTAAGTCAATGATTCATGACGTGTTCAATATAACATATATTATTTATAGAGGTTTGATGGATTTTTATATCTTCTCGGTCGTCTTCAGTTATTCACAAAGCAGAATAGTAAAAGCCGATTTTGTTTTAAAATCAACTCCCAAAGTGAGGTCTTACTCAAACATTCGAGCACTTCTCAGACATTAAAAAAGCGTTAAAGAAGTACCAAGGAAAGAAAGTTAAAGAAGTACATCTGTAATTTTCTGTACAGAGCGTTGTTCATTGTGATCAATTCTTTAATAAATATAATTTATAAATTCATGTTTACATCTACATTGGTTGGAAAGCAAGCGCCCCTTGGAAAATCAGGAAGATGAGAGCGTTCTTTCGAGGAGGAACTCAGATTCGGGTGTTTACTGGAGTACAAAATTGAATTTCTGGTTATCATGGTTCTCTTGTCACATAAATCCTGCAAATTGTGAATGTTCCACAGCTCCATTCTTATCACAAGATTCCATTCAAATCGGATGTCATGCGTTTCAATGTAATATGACCCGACCACGTTCAGACATCCAAAATATGACTCCCCTCACTGAAAGAAGGACAAAAGAAAAGAGAATAGAGAGATAAAAATCAATTAAATAAAAAAATAGGGATTTTACAAATTCACAAATGGGTGAAGTGCTGACTTTGCGTAAGGCGTTAAACATGTGAGGAAAATAGCCTCGCAACAGCAGAGACGAAACCGACTAATGATGTCACATGCCTTTCTTCCTCCATGAGACACTAGTCAAAGATCTTAGCCTTGCAACAATAACATGACAAGAATAAGTAAGAGGTAAGACAACCTAATGCAAATGTGACATGCAATAGCCGGGCAGCAATTGAATTGATTAGATTGCAGCTTTTTCTCACATGGAAAAAGGAATCACAAACTGGCGCTCGCTCACACCCTTTATTTTGTTCATGCATTCGATGGACGATAGGCCGTCTATCCGGACGGAATAAAACGTCGGAGATTTTGGAGTTACCAAAAATCCGTAGTAACATTTTCTCGTCTTGAGGTCAAGACCGGGGAGAAACGTAGGTAAGTGCATTGTACGAGACAAGATCTGATTAATCATACCATCAGTGCGAGGAGATGAATGATTGAAATGGATTTTTCGCCTTAGAAATAATTCCAGGTTCCTTTTAGGGAAAAGAAAGGTCCAACAAAAGCTGTACTTCTAACAATACGGTTTACATGTTGACTATCTGGGGCACATCAAATGAAAAAAGAAAGCCGAGACCCATTTTCTGTTTTTCTTTTCGTAGACAGGGAAACAAGAAGAGTAAACTGCGAAAAAGTGACTTAAAATACACGTCTCTACTATTCTCGGCCTCCTCATTGCAGTGCGCGGAGATTACAGCCGTCCGTTCGTGCAAAGCTGAAACCGAAAATAACCTCCCAGGTATGGTACCAACTCCAACCGGCATCGCCTCCTGAGCCGCTGCTGCTCTCCGTGCCGGGATGCGGTTCGGAATCGTCTCGCTTGGCCGAGGGGGCGGGTCCTTAGCGGCAGGCGCACTGGCTGCTTCGGATACCTGGAGGAACGGTTTCGGATTCTCACGCCTGAAATTGACAAACCCGGCAAGCCTGCCGAGAATGGGCCGGTTTTCGGCAGGCATTAGGCGTCGCAAACAAATATTTGCCCAACAGCGGAGGGTCCGACAGAAAGTTGGAACTGAAAGTTCTATCAACTACTCTAATGACTCGCTAAGACAAATCATCCGATGGTCACGGCGTGGGTTGTCATCGCTAAGATTTTACGGGACCAATGGGAGACGGCCACCTGGATGCTACTGGTGCGGCCACGCGAGGGCCAATAAGACGATGCTAGCATAAACCGGGCGGAAGACCTATGCTCTTTTACCGAGCGCTAACAAAACCGTACGGACAGCGGACGGGTGCCTCCCCTAGGATCTCGATCGGACGGTGGCACGCTCTGCAGGTCGTAGAAAAGCTTACAGGCGATTCCAGGACCATATATTCGCATACAGTATTCCGAGTGTATCGCGAATGGCTGATACGCTTTGGGGGCAATTGTTACCTTCGGTCATCGATTTGTTCCGTGCAGAGTTAATGCGATTTTGCAGTCTAACCTTGAGGCGTAAAACCGATATTTGCCAGCTCAAATTCTGACGGCGAGGATCAGTTAATCTACATTGGCTAAACGACCGCGTTGGCCCTGGAGTTTGCGCTCTTCGGCCCGGCCCAGGTGTAAGCACTCTTTCTCTGCTTTCTTTCCTTCAGAACGCGTCGCGTCGAGTACAGAGAGAGTAGTGAGTGTGTGAGTGAAGTCGAGAGAGCGTCTGGCCGCGGGAGAGTGTGCGAGAGAGAGAGAGAGAGCGAGTGCAAGGACGAGCGGGGTGGGGAGGGGAGGGCAGGGCAGGGCAGGGGAGGGGGAGCGGGAGGCTGGGGTTGGGAGTATAACAGGGAATACGATGAATTACGGAGACGTCGTGGATCCCCACTTCGGTCGCTTGCGCTAGAATGGAGTTGTGATCGGCACGCGAGGCATGTCGTAACGATAGAGTGGTGGTATGATTCACACAGTAGCAGGGAGCTGAGCTCTGCCAGGAAGGAAGGAGCGAGCACAAGTGCTCATGCCGGTGCTGGATTGCGTCGTCCGAAGAGTTCACGTTGCCGCGAGCCTGACACTTAGTCGATTGTGCTCCGGGCGTTTCAGCAGCGCTAGCGTAAGTCAACCGCCTGGCATGTCCGCGAGCTGCTGCTGCTGCTGCTGCTGCAACATGGCGGGACTTAATCATCGGCGGACGATATAGCTCCATGGTTGATGTCCTCGCACCTTTCATTCCCGAAACTCGTTAGGGTTATTGTCAGGCCATAAACTGGGCCCCGTGTCCCGTCGGGTCGACCAAAGTGCTGTGCACCCTCGTTGTGGTATTGTCCATAAGTGGACCTTCCGGAGTTGGTCTGCCGCAGTGGGGTGGAGTTCGGACTTAGGGCCTGGGCCTGGGTGTTTTGGGGTGACACAACAGGAGTGAAGGAAGTGGCCGAGATGTGGAGTAGCTTCGGAAGGGAGTAATGGGGTTTGAAGATAGGAAGCCTAGGCCCGGGCTTCCCACAATGTGATCGGTTTCGGAGTCATGCGTCCGCGTCCAATGTTTTCTCACTTGCCAGGATACAGAAGATTGGAAGTACGTCTGACAGTAGATTTCGTAGTCTCTCAAAATCACAGTATTGTAGGTCTAGAGCAGGATGAACGTCTAGTTGCGAGTCCATGATGAAGTCATTTGATACAGCCACCTCAACGTCAACATCAGCAGGAAGGTCCCCAGATTCCTCAACGACGGGAGACAAGTTGAACCCCAACGACAAAATGACTATCGTGGAGGGATTTTCTCCCATTGGTTTGAAAGTGCTCGTTGTCGACGATGATCCTGTTTGTCTCATGATCCTCGAGACAATGCTTCGGCAGTGCCACTACTCCGGTGCGTTCCGCAACCCCAACTCAGCTCTCTTTGGCTTTTTCTATGGCACTTGTCGTCGTTTCCCGAACTTCCCACTGAACTCTTACTATTTCTCATGCAGTCACGACGTGCCAGAAAGCCGTAGATGCTCTCTCCCTTCTACGAGAGAACAAAAGCAATTACGACCTGGTGATGAGTGACGTTTACATGCCCGACATGGACGGGTTCAAGCTGTTAGAAGCTATCGGCCTCGAGCTGGACCTTCCCGTCATTAGTAAGTTATTTCCCCTTCTTATTTGAATTATGATATAATCTCTCCTCCTGACGCGTATCTCATAAGGTCGGGATCTTGCTTCTCTCTAGCTGCACGTTAACAGTGTCACACCATCTTCTCTTCCAGTGATGTCTGCAAATGGAGAAACGGAAGTCGTCATGAAAGGGATAACCCATGGGGCGTGCGATTACCTTCTGAAACCCGTGCGTATAGAAGAACTACGGAATATATGGCAGCATGTCATCCGACGTCGTGGACGAGGCGAAACGATGAAGGATGATCACTCTAGCGAATGGGGGGATGATGGGAATAGAGCTTTAGATTCTCCGAATGACGGGGAACAAAATTCGAGGAAGCGAAAGGAGAAACAGGAGCCCGTCGAGGAGCCTCTCGAGGATGTCAACAGCCTCAAAAAGGCCAGGGTCGTCTGGTCGGTCGAATTGCATCAGCAATTTGTAAATGCGGTGAATCAGCTTGGAATCGACAGTAAGTCGTCGTCACACGTTGCCCTTAGCTCCTCGTTTGTGATTCACGCAATCTGTGTGATTGAACTTGCCGAGTGATCACCATCCGTTCAAGTGTCTGCTTTTTCGAGTCGTGAGTCGGAATCTTGGTTCTCGAAGCGAAGGGTGACTTGGGCTTACTGGATCTTATGTTTTCTACATGTGTTTCCTTTAGAAGCTGTGCCGAAGCGCATCCTGGAGATAATGAACGTACAAGGTCTTTCGAGAGAAAACGTGGCAAGCCACCTGCAGGTGAGACGGGTTTCCCTTAGGGTTCAATTTCTAGTATTGTCTGAAGTTGTCATTCTTTTTGTCATCCGAGTGCTAAGTTTCATTTCTGGATGCAGAAATATCGACAATATATGAAGCGTTTAAGTGGCGTAAACACACCTGGGCACTTAGACGCCCAACCTGCTGCTTTGTCTGATCTGAGGGCTAAGTTTCCTTTCTGGTTGCAGAAGTATCGACAATACCTGAAGCGCTTAAGCGGCGTTAATACTCAGCCGTATCCAGTTGCATCATTTCAAGCTTCCCAGGGAACGAACTTTGGTGGTACGATGCAGATTCAGCCCGGTGGTAGAGGGGTGGCTGCAGCATCCTGCGGTAAACCTATGAATGTGTTACCAGGACCAGGTTCGAATCTTGTCGGGGCTGGTATGGCAAGAGGAATTACTCAAATTGACCAGGCCACTTTGACTACGCTGGCCCAACTGCAGGCCCACCAGCAGAGGCAAGCAGCCTCCATATCATCACCTCACATGCTGGGTGGGCTTGGACAGCTGAGCGTTGGAGGGATTAGACCCGGTTTGTCCAACCCATCCTCCAACAACACGTCCTTCCCAGGTCTGCAGAGGATGTCATCCGTTGAACTGGATATGTTGATGAAAGCAGCCCAGCAAGATTCGATAAACAATCGCCAACAAGGGAACATGAATGGCGATGACCTTGTCGGACTAGGACGACAGAATAATTTGCATCCTCTTCCGGCCCTAGGCTTCAAAACGGAAGATGAATTGGTACTTCCAAGCATCGGGTTGAGTCAAGTCTTTGGCGCCGAAAAGTTTGGTGTTGAGCTCGGTGCCCCTTCGCCCTACTCCACCATGAGCTCTACAATGAGTAGCAGAGGCTTTCAAGAGGCGAATTACAGTAGTGGCTACAGTGACTACGGCCATGTAGATAACAACAATTTCCTACCAGCTTCTCCATCGGAGCTTAGTGTCTCCTTATTGAACCAAGTCTTCCCTCACCAAGGTGAAGACGATTATAGGCCTGGTCAGGGTCAGTGATGGTGGGGTGTCATACGTCTCGTTCCTCTGGGCTCCGAGTCGCATCTGAGTCCAGGCCCGAAGCTTATCGGACTGGCCTGCGACATGGCCTGTGATGGTGACACCCCACCTGCATGTTCAACAGCCTTCTCTACGCAAGTGGTCTGAGAGGGAGCCTTGGAGAGCCTGTTGAAAACTGCATGTGGTCGTGTAGGATATAAGTTATACATCAAGATAGTATCATCTACCACAGGTCCAGGTCCTCTCATTTTGATTTGCTGATACTGTATGTTCGGGATAATCCAAGGATGCAGCTCACCACGGATGAACTGGCTGTCCCATGCTGTCGACTTGTGATAGTCGGGACACTTACTGTCTACCTTGCACAAGAAAAATGTCAGCCACTACCCTCCAATTGTAAATGCACAGCTTTTTAAATGGCTCCCTTTTGTACTCTCTGTTCTGTATCATCATGACTTTTGTCGACACCCTTCGCAGGTGATCAGAGGCTGCTGGCCTCGTCTCTCTTTAACGCCTGATTCTACTCTTGCAGTGCTTCTTGTAGCAAATCTTCTCACTCTTGTCGTGGCACTGAAGAACTAACAGTTTTTTTTTTTCATAACACATGTGAAGAATTTTCAGCCAGGTATTTCGTTTTCATCCGCACGTCGAGACTACGGTATGTTTTTGAACTGATGCGAAGAGTAAAGTCTGATTGCATTGTTCAAATAGTTACATCTTCGTGTTGGAGCGGTCTTCATAATCTGTATCGGAATTCCTGTACTTTCGAGGTCGCATCTCTCTTCGTTCACTTCTTCGACCTCCAGATGCTCCATTTGGATGAGGGCTGGATCTGTGTTGGATTCGGGTGGAGGTGGTCACACATGTAATAGTCTGTAGGCACACAGACTACTGCGCGTATATATGAGGCTCCAAGTGAGTACACATTCCACACCATCTCCAGATGACATGGGACCCGTCGTTATCCACACTCATTCAGCTGTCGGGTCTGTTGAAGGGAAGCGAGATCCGTGGGTCATCGTTGTGACTGCTTGATTACTCCCCAGCGTAGTGCGGTGTCAGAATTGAATCGTCGCCAAAGACACGTGCCTGCCCTGTCGTCCCGTCTCTGTCACGAATCTTTTTCTTCTTAGTATTTATCCGTGCTGTTCTTTATATGATCTACATGCGTTTTCAGGTCTAGAGAAATCGGTCTTCCTCCTCATAGTAGCATGTGGAAGTTGTGTTCGTAAGAGGTCGCTTGTGCTGGAAAAAGTCATTGGCGAGGGCAGGTCATTCAATTCACTGCGGGTTGGAGTAGGGGGATCTGGTTCTGGAACTGTGGAGAGATCGAAGTTACAGAATTCGGGAGGTCAAAAAATATGACCACCAGCATGACCTAGGCTTGCGAGTGGACGTGTGTCCAAGTACATGAGGAACTGTGATTCCGATCCGGAATGTGGAGACGATACGAACGCCATTGGACAGAATGAGTACCCCCAGCCAGGGTGAGGATGGATGAGGATCTCGGGTGAGGGGAACGAGGGTCGCTTTTGGTATCAGCATCGAACAATTCTCTCCTCACACTTGTTTGTTTATTTCCCCCCAACAGCGCCCCATGCCCATGCTCCCAAAATCTTCCCTGTCCATCGGCCGCAGTGTCAGTCAGCCCACACTCAGTACGGAATTCAGGGAAAGAAAGCACCCGATTTTGTGTATCATCGCCTTCCTGCCTCTCCAAATCGCCATGCCCAAGCCGACCGACCGCGAAGGCTCTCAGTCATCCTTGCCCGTAGTTACCGAAGCAAGGAAGCAGAGAAAGGATGGACCCCGGGGGTGCATGTGTTTGTTCCAGTACGTCTGCCCAGAGCCCAGACGCACTCGTACACGTCTAAAGCGCTTTTGCGAAACGGACTGTACAAGCACACGTTGCACGTCATCAGCTGCTGGGCTCGGACGTCGGAAACTAACTGTGCTCTGTGCCGGCCAGTGGTTCGGGCCGGGTCGGGTAGGGTCGGGTCGCTTGGCTCGGCTCGGCTCGGCTCGGCTCGTCGTAATGTCAGATGAGCCGGGCCGTTTCTTGTTACCGACGAACGTGATGACAACTGGAACCTCACTGAGGACTGAGAGTAGCTGGCGACTGGGTCGTGCAAGAACTGCCCCCCGGTGGCGACAGTTGACGGTGTAGACCAACGCCTGCCACTGTCGCGTCGCATGTCACTCTCGCCGATCCGATTCACTCTCTCGATGCCCGGAATGCGTCCGCTGTCTCTTTCGATCCCTGCTCCCCCTTCCTCCCCCCGACCATTTACGTCTACAAACGCCCGCCTGCGCTACTCAGCCGTGTGGTGGAGAACAGAACCGCATCGATCGAAATTCAGACGAAATGAAGTCACCCAAACGTGGGAAAGTCAGCTGAAATGAAATCACGCCAATCTCCACAAAAGATCGAAACTCCTTCCGCGTCTGATAACATCAAAATCACTGAAATTTATGATCAAGTCGCAATCCCCCTTACCTACAAATCCACCGGGATCGTAGCAAGCCATCAGTAAAAAATACTGTACCGCGTCCTCCAGAAGTCATTTGCATATTCACATAAAACGATGGGAAGTGCCGTACATGGAAGAAAGCGAGGTCGAAGGCACCGAAATTAAAGACAGAAATTCAACGTCCAAGAGTGTGCATGTACAGTTTCATTTCACATTGAATGTAAAGCGATTTCGTGAGCCCGACTGGCCCTGATGATTAGGGCCTAGTCTACGAGCGGAGTAGGTTAGGGTTTTGCTCGGGGATGTGGAGTGGGTGCGAAGACCTTACACGGGAGATGCATCCTGCACGGAGCCAGGCCACTGGCTGGCTGGCCCCAGGGGCCAGTAAATGCGGACGAACCTCGTCGTGACTCGGGCGGGGGTTACCTTCGAGCACATCGCGGTTGAGATCTTCAGGTTACGGGGGCCATTTTTACCTACTATCGCAGGTATTCTGTGGGGTCGCCCATGCGACTTCGCTTTGAACGATTGCTTTTGGGTCGGGTCGGACCCGCGCCAAACGACCTTGTCACAAGGTACGAACCACGCCGATCGAGTAACCGAGCCGGTAGACCCCGTAGGAGAAGATGTGCTTAAAGACTCCGTAGACTAGGTATCTTTGTACAGGAGGAAATGGATTGTTATAACGCAGGTACAACTACTTGTAGGACGTGGCAGGCAGGCAGCAGCATCTGACGTGGCATTTCTACAGAAATACTCTACAGAAATACCCATTTCATCTCTTCCGTCGGACTGTCTGACGTGAATGTGCTATAGACGTTTTGTTGGCTTTCCTCGACGGAGAAGTCAAAAGAAAGTCGAAATTGCAGAGCGTCAGCTGTTGTATGTTCTGAAGTATAATTCTGGCGTACAGTACTAAGAACCACAAAATTTACTCTCCAGACTCCCTCCACGAAAGCATGAGAGATGAAAAAATTTGGAATATGATTAGCATGATGCGGGCACCCATGACCCAATACTGAGACATATGGTCCAAAGTCATTCATCAGGTCAAAAATATTCAAAAATCTGTTTCAATCAATGCTACTTATACACGAGAATTATAGTTTAATGCCGATGAACTATATTTTTCATATCGCTCTAATCTTCTTGAACGAAAAAAAGACTCTTTTCAGAAATGATTCAATCCTCGATGGATTATATGAAGGTTTAACCAGTCTTCAGGTGCAGTACGTTCGTAATGTCACTTTCATGGGTAGTGACATCGCAGCTCAGATGCATGCGTCTCACCACTTATGTAGTGACGACTTTGTGAAATAGCTGTGAGCAGATTCATAAATGAGGGCTGGTATTGTGGTTGCTCAGTGTAGTTTGTTTGCACTGGAGGTGAAGTTGGGGCTCATAGTGCCATTCATATTTAAGAATGAATTGTAGGTTTTGAAAAAGAATCTTATCTCGAAGTAATAAAAAGCAGAATAAAGATTGATTTTTTATATTAAAAAATAGAATCATAATATATATGTATAAAAATTCCAAACTTGAAATTATTATTTTTATTAATTCATTGTTAAAGAAGTCAATACATGGGTATTGTTTCAAAATCTATTCATTTTATGGTGAGCAAAAAATGTCTTGGAATTACTTATTTTTTTGAATGAATGAAAAAAATTGAAAATCTTGATACGCATACGTTGACGTTTTAATAATAAATATGTGATTCAATTTTATTTTTCATCTATGCTGTCAAAAAAAAACCATTCCACTTATAAAGAGCTTTTTAATCAAAATAATATTGCCGATGACGGATGCATCAGATGTCTGAAATGAAAAACACATACTTTCTTTAGATCAATACCAAAGTTAAAAATATGAAAGTATTGAGTAATTTTATCTTTGTATGATATTTGAACTATTCGTGTAAAGATTATCAAATAGAAGTATCACTAAAATTTATTATGTAAGCTACGATAATAATATTATATTAGACATTTATTAAGTAAATAAAATTGATTGAGAACTTTAATCAAGACACTTAGGCAGAAATGATGACGTGAAAGAATCAGAGTCAAGCTCAAATGATTCAGATGCTTTTGAACTTTTTCTCGGTCTATAGTACTGTATTTAAACGTCTTTCAAGGATGTTTAGTACAAAAGGAATGTTCAAAGTTAGGTCGTGACTGGAACGAAAATAGTTGAAACTCGTAGAGATGGAGGTAAAATCTTTCAGGATCTTAGTAATGTGAAAGATTTATCTTAATTGTATATTGATATACTAAGTGTGTTAAATTAACATGTAATATGATACAATCAAACTATATTTGAAGTAACGATTATACACACAAGTTTTCAATCTGATATGTTTGATCTCGCTTTTATACTTGTAGAAGTAATACCATAGATGCACAAAACATTGTTTCAAGGAACAACGCATGAAGATATTTCAATTTCATTTTTATTGATATTTTTACACATAGCGGAATTAAATTTGATATGATATTTCAAGATAAATATTTTACTTTCATATTGACATCAAAACCCTTTACCCTTGTATTGATGAAGTTTAGAGTGGATGGATGATAGTAAAATGAAACTTTTTCCTTCAACGTGGCAGGAGTAAATGCTTCAAATGATCTCCAGAGAGAAAAAGGTTATTCTTTCAACATATTTTTATATTTTCAAAAGGTCTCACCAATGCGGTGTCTGCAACATCGCATGCAATAGGAGGTTGCAGAAAAATGACTGCAAATAGAGGTTCAAAGTATACAGTAACATGAGCTTTACCATTTAGCTGTTTTATGATTCATTACGGATACAAGCATGTACCGAGATCAAGAGACTCTCGAGAGAAGAAGAATCATAATGAGACGGGAAAGTGAAGGAAATAATTACATGTGCACTGAGATCGAGTTCCGAACTCGGGTAAAAATTGCCTCAAAAAATGAGAAAAGACGTTCGAGCACGAATAATGCAGAATGTATGTTGTCGTAGGCCTCCTCGTAGAGTGAGGTCGCAGAAAACAATTTTGTCTTCACTGGAAGCGGGAAGAAGGAAGAAGTCCTGTTGGAGTATTAGCCTCGCTTGTCGCATTAGCTTTTGCGCGAGCCCTGAAGACCAGCACAACGCCGGAGCCCGTGGCGCGCAAGTGGACGTTGGATTTAGACGGTGCCGTTGGCGCTGGGCGGAGGGAGCGTGCGGGCGCGGCTCGCTCTTCGGGCTCTCATCTGGGGCCGCGCATTCGTCGCAGGGCGACCGATATATATACGTCGCGTATACGGACGAAGCTTAGAGAGCGAAGACGGACGCACCTGTACGAGAGACTTTTTGAGAAGCGGACAAGGCCAGAGTCCGCCTCGTCCCGTGTCTCGTTCGGGAAGGCGCTGCGATCGGGCTTTAGGCATGTCACGTACTCATGCGGCCGTAGATCGATGGCCTTATCGATACCGTCTCGAAGCCCAAGCGCGAGGCTCACACGCACTCGCTCCATTGACCATGTGGAGGTCAGAAGCTCCATGATCCTCGATCGACCGTGCTATCATTACGCTGCTACGATTCACTCTGTCTCCAGGTAGATGGCAAGCTCGGTCGAGTTGCCATCTTTGCCGCAGACAAGTCGCCCCTGCTGGAATGGAACGCTTCGGACAAATAAGTGAGCTGCACGGTACAGTCGAGCGAGAGAATGCGATCAAGATCCTCTCTCTCTCTCTCTCTCTCTCTCTCTCTCTCTTGGTGAGAGCGAGAGTCCGTCTGCGGAACGAAGCGACGGCCTCCACGAGCCATGAGGACCAGTTTCCAACTGACCTTTTGTGATATCGTACAACCCTTTGTCGAGTGCGCGCATGGACATGAAACATCGGAAAACAAAACGAAATCGAACAAGACAGAAAAGAACAGAAGAGAACAGAACGGAAGGCTTTCTTTGCCAACTCCGCTGGAGCCTCAGGCCTCGAGCCGAAAGTACTTCTCGTGCTGATGCCGAGGGGCTTTTTCGCTCCATACGGATGTGACCCACGGTGCGGACCTTGATGGCAGATGGGGCGGAAGGGGGAGGGGGGGGGGGGGGGGGGGGAGGGGGGGCGTAAAGGCAAAGCAGAGGAATCGTCAAACTAGGCGGAAGAGCCACATCCGCAAGTCATTATCTATGATCGCCTCCATCATTTCCATGATAGCGCACAGTCCACAGAGACGAGCGAAGATTGTCAGAGACTCAAGTCACGGAACAGGACTCTCCCCGGAGGCGGACTGACGTCACGTTGTGGATGAGGGGACGCGATGGCTATTGTACATGCAGTCGATATTCCGGGCCATGTCTAAAAAAGAAGCGCCAGCCCTTCCTGTAATTCTGGAGAACAGAACTCCATGCTGCGAATCTCGGAATCTCCGTGTCACCCATCTCCACATGCCAGAGCATGGACTGTCGTAGCGCGGGCCCTCGTCGAGCCGTGGATTAGACTAGACACGACCGGAATCCGCAGCCCCGACCTCTCCCGGATTCTCGTCCCCGGAGCCGTCGATGCTCGCACGGATTGCGCATCGGCCGGGCGACACCGTCCGTCTTCCGTCGATCTCCCGTGCCGTGGCCGACTCGGCAAGCGCCATCGACGGACGATCCATGTTCGCCTGGTCGTCGGCCGGGCGCCTCTCGAACACACACACACGGACGGACCCAGCAGCGGCAACCATGGTGGCCAAGAAGACGTGCCCTGCCACCGCGCCATCATGGCCGCTCGAGTTCGAGTTCGGATTCAAGTTGGGAAGCCTCGTTTGGCACTTGGCGGAGATTGGAACATGTTCCTGAGGCGGGATCGGGTTCGGCTTGCGCCTTACAACTTTGGAATGGTCGACATTGCGTTTTGTGAGTATCTTCTTAACTTTGTTTGTTTGTTTCGCCGCCGCGAGGGCGGAGCGTGAACATGAGCTCGTGGGCGATGTACGTGGAATAAAGCGAACTGAAGTTTAACTCTCGCAAAGCGAAGGAGAGTTGTGGATTGGCTCCATCCCGTCGTTCTTCACATCTTGCGCGACGTATGTCAGAGAGGGAGATGGTCCGTGCCTTCCACATCTACAGGGCAAGCTGGGGTACAGCCACTAGGCAATCACTCTCGTTCGGACAAGAACGCTCGTGAAGTCTCTCCAGCTGCGAGGTTTCGGAGCGAGACAAAAATCTCAGCCAATACAATGATCCAACTGAACTCGGTTCGGTCTGGATGGACAGAATACTTGTATCGTTTCAACTCTCGAACAATTCCGGTGTCTATCCTCATGAGGCGTCGGGAAGATCAAGGGGAATGTATCTATAGTGGTCGCTTGTAACTGCAGTTTTGCGTTTCACACGGCGACATTTGAGGGTGATGCAACGACAAGTCTTTGACCCAGATAAGAAATACCAAGTACAGTAATGTAGCCAAAGGGATGGGGGAAGACCCCATCAAGTCGTACAGGGATGAAACCGAACGGGTAGGATGGGGCTAGCCCCGAATAGCATCACCCAGATTCAGGAGGCCCATTCGATTTGTAATTGTACCACCAGAAGAACTCATGACCTCCCTTCCCGGAAGTGCACTTTGTGGGGCCTGCACTACGACGGACGCGAGAAAGGTCATGGTTATGAGGCAGTTTTCCCGTGGGTGAAAGCGGCCACATTTCAAGCCATCGGGATCGCATCTTTCGGACCGAGCCTCCAGCGTAAAACGAGCCTGCGTTAAGCTGAAGAGGAACTCTCCGAGCAGACCTCAGCAGCAGATCCACGTCCTCGACATGGCCACGAAGATATTTCCAGTGAGCACTGCAAGAACCTATAATATGTTGTTGGGGATGTGTACCAGGTGAAATAGACAGTATATTAACCATGTATAGGGTATCTCCCTAGCTTCGTTTTGAGAAAGCAGAACATCAGCCCCCACAACAAATTAATATAAAAAGGCATCTAACCATAGAATACAAGAGAAAAGGTGACATGAATAATCTGAAAACATGATTCCATCGAATAAGAACACAATGCAGGACGGAGCGAGAGAACCGAGCCTGAGGCAAGGCAAGGCAAGAAGAATCACAGTTCATTCCTGATGTCATCAAACCCAGAAACTCATCGTATAAGGGGGCGTGACTTGATTTACTTTTTGCACGCAAACGGTTGTCAAGCTGACATACTGCAGATATGGAAAAGTACTCCTTTGCAACAAACCTTCGACGAGGAGATATCTTGTCATCTTGTTGCCATCTCATCAACACCAATACGCACACGCACGGGTAACATGAAGGTTGACACTATTTATTCCATTCTATCATACTCAATGAATGTAGCGTGATGTGTACACGTTGATTTTTTCTTCTATGAAAATATCACCAGTATACGATTTCAGATACAGCTATAGATACTTTTCTTCGTCGTATCTTATATATATATATATATATATTTGAAAACGACTTGATCAGATCAACTTTTTTTTTTTATATAGTAAACAACATCAATCTTGGAATTTGTTCCCTTTCCAACCTAATTTATATATAGTCTAGATAATGAGTAATTTATATAGTTATATTAATTATTAAGAATGACATAAATTTAACATAAATTTGATTCTTCTAAAGTATTTGTTAAATGACAAATGATCTTATAATTATTTTGTGATTACATATTTCGTAGAGAGTCTTCAGTTGTCTTAATAATTTTAAAAGGCTAATTTAAACACAATTTCAAATTCAAATTTTTAATTACAACCCAGAATTTGTCATGGATGTATATGATCATTGACATAGAAGAATTCGGAGTTTTTTCTTATTAATATTTATTGGAAATTTATAAATTTATAATACTGAATTATTTCTCTACCAGATCAACCGTTCTAAAATATGTCATAGAACTATCATATCGTGAAATTGTATATAAAAAATAGTAGTATTCATAGTTCTGTTAACTTCATAAAAACTTAAAACATGTTATTTCTTGTTAGTCTTTGTTGTCCTCACATATCATTGGTGATGAGGGTATTGTTACAACTCTAACAGAGATATGAGCGCTTCATTTCATATTTCATAAAATGATATATACAAATTTCAATTTTATCCAGAAGATATTTTTTTTTCTATTCAGAATTAATTAATTTTTTTTGAAGAGCACATGAATAGGATGTCTCAAATATATAAAATTCTGTTAATTTCTTATAACGAAAATTTTGCTCTTATTTCAACAAAACTGTCAAAAATTAGATTGGTTTCTCTTTTCGAAAGAGAATTGATCAATGTTTTTTAAATAACCAATAAACTGGTCCAATCTGAAATTAATCGAATTACTTTTAAGTCTAGAAGATTAATGAACAGAACAATAATATGATTTGGAAAGTGTTTCCATTTGAAAATGGTGTAAAAAAACTCATATGTTTCATATTAAATGATTTGCTGTTGTAATTTAAAATAATTTTTTGATGTGAACTTTATCGTAAGTTCAAGTCTAGAATTATTTTGAATAGTCTTTCATCCAGTTGTTCAATCCAAGTTGAACTTTATAATGTACTAATGAGGTTTTTTTTTTTAATCCAGAATAGAACATAACATGAGCTGAAATGTAGGATTATATATAGTAATCTATAAATTACTATATTGATTTATTGTTCATCACGACTTGTTCTGTTGATGGTATATATTTAAAATGTGCACCACGTTGTTCATTCAAAAACTTAAACTTTCTAATATCTTTTGTTAATAGAGTGGAAAACGGGTAGAGAGAGAGAGAGTTTTTCCCATGATATTTTTTGGATATTCATACGATTGAAATCCTTATAACAAACTTGTTTTCGCACTCTCATATAATAAGAGCAAGGAGTCAGGTACGGCTGCGCGTCTTGCACTATCATATCGAAACCCATGATGAGTGTACATAGGTCTTTAGTATAATGCAAGAAAAGATAAAAAGTGAAACACTTAGTTTTAAGATATATGTGATTAAACACACCAGTACTTGGAGTAAGCTGACTTCATAAAAACTCCAAGTATACATAGGTAGGAGGAAGTGTATTGAGCTCATGTTAAATCCATAGTGAAAGTGAGAATAAAAGTGATAATGAAGTTAACTATAATAGGTTTCGAGATTGGCTTGGCACTTGAGTGTACGAAGGATGTGAACATCTGTATGACTTTAAATATAGACTAATTCAATCAGGTAAGTGTAGGCAAGCTTGTTGTTGTTATTAGAAGTTGTATGTAATCTTTCCCATGATTAAAACTTGTCGAAATCTGTGAACTTTATTGTACTTTGATACTGAGGAAAAGACAGTGCAGATATTAAACAACCACTTATTTCTTAAAATCAGCTATGATCTCATTTCCCCATATGTGTGAATGTTTGAGTTACACAGTACGTGGGACGAAAAACTTGAGCTAAACTAATCTCAAGTCGAACACATTGAATAAGTGTAAAAGTCTTCAAGAATTCGATGTCCGTATCAGACTCGGGGAAGTAAATATATGATCTTGAAGGAATTGGATGAAATTGCAGATTGGCGTTTTGTGGTTTGAGGATGATCATGTTGATGCATATATACTTAAGTATTTTCTGTTCGGATTGCGAGAGTGGAAATCCAACGGAAAGCTGTTTCGACTTTTCTTCTCTGCGTAAGATGTTCAACGACCAATAGAAAAGTACCAAGCATGAAAGATCATAGTTTACCATAGTTTCTCATTGTGGAGCCTATGTCTTCAGTAGTTATACTCTTTAAGTTTCACTGGAGCACAGAGAGTGAAATTTGTTGAGCTCGGGAGCAAAGCTCATTGGGAACAAAATTGACAGAATGAGCTATGACACACAATGACATGACACACAACACATGATCTTAACATGTATAAACCCAAGCGGCGTACCAGGACTGCCAATAGTCAGGAGGACGAGGAGGAGAGGAGTGGGAATTGAGACAGACGGGGAGGCCTGACAGAAAGCGGAGCTGACAATCATGTTCTGCTTTTATCGACCTCGGGTGGGTGCCTTGTATAACTGTAAAGGGGCCTGGCCAACGAATGGAGCTTCGGTTGTCATCTGAGATATACTGAAAGAAGGTTGTGTAAATGGCAGAACAGAAAATGGCGTTTAGTCCCATGGGGAAAAGACCTGGAAAGGTCAAGTCAAAGATGGACTCAAGGCAGTGAAGGAAGCCGACTAGACCAGGAGGAGATGGAAGGAAGTAAAAGGAGCGCAGTCATAGATGTTTACTGCATGAAGAAGAGACTAGGGGATAACAGCGAATAGTCGTTGCAAGTCAAGATGTCACTGTGCAGATATAGCGAGCGTAACTGATGGATAGTGCTCGTTCATGCCCGTAGTCCTCGCAAGGACAGAGTGCTGGGGAGAGAATCACTGATGATGATGGAATGAGACGCTGTGGGGTTGGATGGGAGATGGGATGAGAAGAGATAGAGAAGCTCAAGGCACATGTCACACGATTTGTAACGTGATCGGTGCTTCAGGGCAAGTAGCTGAACAAGCAGCTAGTTGGTGCTGCCCTAGCTCAATTCTGTCAGTTGGCCTTACGACAATTTGCAGATCTGGTCTACTCTTTGAGCTTTTCAGGTCCCTGCTGCTGCAAGCGAGTGCAATCGTCGTTTCTGAATCGGAATTCAAATTACAACGGATGTTAGCTTGGAACTCAAAAGGTTTTAGTGACTTTGGGGAGGTTTACTGCATGATCGTGGTTATTGTGGATTGGTGAAATCGAGTACGAGCTTGACATCTCGTGGAAAGGAGGCCAAATAGCAAGTCTCCCCAGTGTTCTCGTTTGCTCTGTCTGGAGGAGCGTGTGGATTGATCACGAGAAAGTCAAGGTTCCTCTTGCACCTTCCTTGCAATCGCGGACACCAATTCTGTTCAGATGAGGTGTACGCGGGTATCTACTCAATACTGCTTCTGGACCTTTAGAAGGAGAAACTCTTAGATGCATTTCTACTCTCTGGCGGTTTTGCATTCGATCGGCTCGAGTAGAGCTATAAATTTAATTTCAAACATCTATAGATCGAATAGATAAATTTTTTTTTTCAAGTATCCGAGTGGATATTACTCTTCCAGGCTGCCGAAATTGTGGCTGGTTTTGACATGGGGCAGAATGTTGTTTGTCTTGTCCAATGTGGTGTGTGATGGTTGTAGAAGAGCCATTCCGCTTAAGATGGCTTCCGGTCAAAATGTGTGCATTTGGGACTTGTGGATTTGATCCATTGAGTGTCGCGTGGGCTTTGGTGTTGAACATTTTCTTCTGGTGGCTTGTTTTCCCAGGGTGGCGGTTCAAACTTCTCTGTCACAACGGTACTCTCCCAATCAGGTCGAATGCACGAGTTCCTAGAGTCGATAACCATACATTGTCTCGTTACGAGGAGATCTGTTGGATGTAGGACAACCTTTTGAGTGAACAAATCTCTCGCAGGTCCATCGTGATAGTATGGCCAACTCCTTCCCTGCATCACTAGCTGCAGGGTTGATTCTCTCAGAGCAGCTGAAGCCCCGGATACATAAAACCAATTTAGGTCCTCCTCCACCTGGCTATCCACCTACCTACGATGGAAGCAAGGACAAAAACGGCAAGGGTGCAGCAGTACTTCCGACGTGTCCTATGATATATGCCATAATCACTGATCGAAATTCCCTCGTACAACCTACCACTGTGCAGTATGGACCTCCCATTGTCCAGTCTGGAATGGGAACCAGTGTGGATCCAACTCCAACTCTTCCCGCACTTCTTCCGCTTGACATGAACAATGTATCACTGAACGTCGAGTGTCACATAAGTACTGCCTTCGTGACAGTTGAGGGTATGTGGACGTTGGGGCTACTGAAGAAAGACTATCAGTGCGACTGTCTTCTTGCCGTTCCAATGCACCGCCAGGTACTTGCATCATGCCCTTCAAACAATTTGGAAAATTATTGTGGCTTATATCTGAGTGCAGTTGGTCTCACGTTTTTATCATGTTGAAGTTTTGAGAGAAGTCACCATAGCTGTCCGTGTAATCTGTTTTTTTGTCGTGTTATTGTGGATATTCACTGCATGACGGAGTCGGTTGAAATGTTCTACACACGAGCATGTCCATCCATTTTGTGCTGAAGTGATAGTTCAATACTGGTGAATCAAAAGAGGAATCAAGAAAAAGTATTACATTTTGCTCTTGCAAAGATATGTCCTGGGGAATGGCAGAAGTATTGTCAATGCTATTGAAGAAATGTGTAAGACTGTTAAGACTTTACACATTATCTTTGTTATGTGTTAAACCTTTGTCAATATTTTCTTGGAATCTCCTTCTTTGAAACTAATACCTTCGTGGTATTGGATGACATGCCCTATACTGTATACTGTACACCTTCAATGAAAACTGTAGATGAACAAAATCTCAGTTCTCCGTATAGCCATTCCTCTTCATTCCCTGCGCAATTTATTTGGTCTTTCTTCTAGGACAATCTGCTCAAGAGTAACTGTGATACTCTTATCATCGGGTACATTCAATATCTTCTTGTCAGGAAACAAGGTCTTGTCTGAGAGTACCTTCATTTGACTAGAATGGAGAACCTGTAATAAATTGGATACAACCAAACTTATCATCCAGGCAGGCTTATACATATCAACAGAAATAGATTGATTAGAAATAACTTGAAAGAAATTCGCATGCTATTATATAATCTCAGTGAATAGAAATTTATTTGGTCCACCACTAATCACTCATCTTCAAGCCTCTCAGACCATCTAGAGGTTGCACGGTGTTGATCCTCGTTAGCTTCGTCGTCAGTCCCTCTCTTCTTTTTTTAAATATGTGTAAGAGGCGGAGGTACATATTCTCAAGGGTATACAGAATATCATTTTTTTTGCAGGGTACTGTCTCCGGAGTTGAGATTGACTTAGGAGATGGTAGGCTTTATGCGACCTTGGTTATTCCCAAAGATGAGGCAGCCAGCTATGGAGTAAAGGGTAGTACGGAATCTGGTGCCGAAGATCCTGGCACCTACAACCCAGAGCTTTTTCGGTTATTTTTCCCCCAGGTCAGGTTACTTCCATCTTCCATTTTTCTTTGAGGTTCACTTCTTTCAGCATCTTGAGGAGGACAATTGAAATGTAGTTGCCGATGCCTCATCTTTATTTACCAGCATTGTTATCTGGAAGTGCATGCTGGATGTAAAAGCTCTTACAAAGTCTGGTTGGATGTTGACGAGCTCCCTTTGAGGCAAAAGAGAGAAGTTTTTTGTGATGTTGGATGTTTGTGATATATAGTGTTTCTAGTTTGTGAATTCATCACTATACAATGTCTTATCAGGTTCGTGCAGGTTCAAGCCTATCGGTGAAAATAACTTGGTTCCAAGCAATGGAATTTGCAGAGGGCCTTTATTCCATACAAATCCCTTTCACATTTCCTGATCACGTGTTCCCATCGAGCGATGTCATTGTCAATGTCACGAAAGTCATGTGCACCATCAACAGTGGAACTGACCTCCCCGTTGAGATGGGCAACAATCTTGCAGAGTCCCTCCAGGTGCATTTGGTTTTAGAACTTCATTGGAATCAAATGCATCGTTCAAGTTAATATCACGCTTACCATAGAATTAAATCAGACGATGCATTCCATAATTTTGTTCACAGGACCTTGTATGTCATAGTCTATACAGAACCTAGTTTTTAGTTTGTCGGGTAAACTTTGTAGTATTCCTGGACATTGAGAACTGCAGGTTTTGTTGTTGTCACTGTAATGGCAAAAACAGTTAAATTTGTATGTATATTTAAGTTTACATCTTGAAGACAGTGGAACTTTTGGTCGTTTCATTAGATGGCTTCTGAACCTGTTTTGTGATGCGGTTACGGCAGGAATCTTCAAGAGGTCCTGGTAGTGTGAGCTTAGTTGCCAAAGGTTCACAATATGCTGATGGTTGGCGCAATGGGGACTTTAATGCTTGCTACAAGGCAAGTTCTGACTGCTAAGTTTTTTACCTCAAACTTGTGGCGTTATGTTTATCGTTTTTGTTTATGTAAATATTACCAACAGGGGTTTTTATGGTGATATGCATCACTCTGAGAGAATGATGTCTGGATGATGCAGGTCTGGTCTGCAGGCATCCTGCCCAGCCTTATTGTGCAAGATCCAGTACCTGGGCAGCTCGATCCACGGGGTGTCTTTTGCCTTTCAGTGTCTCCCCCTGATCCAAAGTCTGTGCAGGTACTAATTACGCTGTGAACCATCTAATCTTGAGCTCAAGAACTGAGGTGCATGCAGATAATCTCCATCTCTTTCTATGGATTGTACAGCCCTATCATGTCGAGTTCCTTGATGACGTAATTATTTTTGAGTTTTCGTGACTGCCTTTAAAACCACCGTTAGGGTTTTAGAGGGGTCGAGCAATCTTGCATGAGGCAATGCATTTCATGAACTCCTCGGTCTTAGACTTCAATATGACTTAGAAATGTTTTCATAAGACTGCTAGAAGCGTGAATGTATAAGGAAATTCGCACTTGAAGTAAAATTGCTGATGTAAAAAAATGGTCAATGTCTTAGCGTGAAAAATAAAAAACGAACGAGCTTCAGATTGCCTTGGTTAAGCTTTTCGTTCTTTACACTAGAAAGTTATGCTCAGGAGAAATCAATAATATCGTTTGTTATTTCGTTCTTATTCGAATCAGGGATTTCAAAGGGCAGTCGTCTTTTTGCTAGACAGAAGTGGAAGCATGTCGGGTAGGCCCATGGAGGATGCACGTGATGCGCTTCGATTTGGGTTAAGTAGCCTGCAACCGGTTGATCTGTTCAACGTGATCGCTTTCGACCATGAATCTCTTTTCTTCTCTCCTCAACTTGTACCGGCAGCTGTGGATGTGACTCACCAGGCGCAGGATTGGATCTACTCCAGTATCGAATCAAGGGGGGGAACTGATATTCTTACACCCTTGCAGCAGGTAAACGCATTCAAATTCCTTTTGGTGAGACCTGACTGTCATGACTAACAAGATTACGGGATTTAACAACATTAACAACAACTTTGGGATTCTCAGGGAAATTTCCTTTGTCTCCACCTTACATTCGTATATGTTAATATGGTGCCGGAAACACTTCTGCCATGTGAAGGAAACCGTTCACTTTTACCGCTGTTGTCCATGGCGCGCCAACCTGAACAATGTTGCATCTTGTATGATTTGAATACAGGCTATGCAAATGCTACAAAACCTTCAGGGCTATGTGCCATACATCTTCCTCATAACGGATGGTGCAGTGAATGATGAGCGAGGCATTTGCCGTCTGATGCAAACTGCACTTTCGCAAGGGGGCTCAGCAGCCCCACGAATCTCTACATTTGGCATAGGTGATTATAATATTCCCTGACATGATCTCTGCCAGAACTTCTCTGCTGGCACTCGTTTGTTTTGGTTTTTACTCAGGAACTCGGGTCAGTCATGTCACTACAGTATATCTTTCTGGTATGTATGACGTTGGAAGAAAACTCCTGTTGTTGATTCGCATCTTCGGCCAGACCTAAATTCTTGACAATGCCTTGTCATTGTACAGGCCACTATTGCAACTTCTACTTTTTGAAGATGCTCGCGCTTATTGGACGAGGATTAAGTGATGTTGCATTCAGCTCAGGTGACCACAATGCTGATAATCTTACCCACCCTCTCACGTCATTGTATTTGAATCTTTCACTCGTTTACGGCGAGCGAATGATTACTTTTTGTGACTATCCAGTACAGTCGTTCAACGAACTGACTCTTGGGTGATGTATGGGTGTTTGCCAAACCTTTCCACGTGAAGATGGATGATAGTTTGCTCTAGTTATTCGACATAGTTTCTGCCCTTCAGTTGTTAAATCTGCTAACTTCCAAATGATCTGGATGATGCCTGAACCTAATCGCATCTGTATAATAGTAAGTCAAATTCCCTGAAGACATGGCAGTTATCACAGACTAGACACTTACTCCTACTTTGATCGTAATAAGAATCCCATTCTTCATTGTAACGCGAGTTGTAACGCGACAGACAGAATTACCTTCGCGTTACAACTCGAAAACGGAGAAAGTAGGAACTCGCAAGGACAATGTACTGTCTTTGCAACCAAATATATATTTCCTACTTTGGTGTTCGGCAGTCTGATGTATCAGCCCTGGTATGGCCACATGGCTCAGATACAGTAAAGGTCGCAAAATGTAAGGTTTGGAGGAGAACCGAGATAGTGCCCGTTGAAACTCAGTCTTGGAAGCGATAGAGAAACAGAACAGAGAGAAGCTAATCACAAATCTGACCTTTTCTTGTCCGCGAACATTACCTGAGCACCTGGTCCTTAGGCAATGTCAGGCATCCGGGTTGATAACTTCACTCCCATCCGTTACTTGCGCACTGGCCAAGAAGAATTAACATTGTCCATACTGTGGGTTACAAGCAGCACCTTCGACGAAATTAGAGGGACATTTCACTACAACCCCTCTCTGCTGGTGGAAATAAACTCGGAATATGTAGGCCCTGATTGAAACTCAAAAGATGATGCCTTTTGAAACAAATCCTTTGGGGTCAACAAACTCTACAGCTTGATGAGCCAGTGGAGGTTTTTTTTGGTTGCCCCCTGGAGGTTCAGAACGAACCTGGTTTACTTGCACAAATAATTCTGCAGCATAGATAATCATTGCAAGCAATCCCTCCTCTTCTTCCGCATGTGTTACCGTCATCACGCTTATACTGTCCAATCTATGTCAGGAAAATGATAATGAGTACAGCTTCTGTTACCTCCACGTATACAGTTTTGCACGTCCGCTACGTCCGTATCATGAACCTAGTGGTCTCTGCAATGGTGACTATACTTGCGACATATTTCGTTTTTTATTTGCTCATTGCTGATTGTTACCGAGCTGAGTCTGTTATCTGAGCTGGGTCGCCCAGGAACCTTTTTCGAAAGAAGATATGTCCGTATAACGATACGGAATGTATTTTTGTGAAGAAGGTCGATAATTTCCGCGTATTTGCTGATGTTTTTATACCCTTTCTGCAGACAAGATTCGAGATCAGATGGAGAAAATGCTGGTTGCTGCGTCCACTCCTCTACTCACGAATATATCCCTGGCGATCGATATTCCCGGGGGCTGTGAGGTAATAAGAAAGAGTTCTTCCTTCTAGCAACAAATTTGTCGTATTTATGTCTATTTGCAGTTTCAAAACGTAGGATCTCGTTCAAATCAACTCGTCAACATAGGGAGTCGTAGGTGATAGTTTGTTGTGTGCCTACATGGCATCTTCGATTATAGGCACATAACAAAGATTTCATGTATTCATTTTTTACTTCACTTTTGTGATAATTGCAGGTTTATCCGTACCCGATTCCAGATCTCTTCTGTACAAATCCTCTGGTTGTGTCTGGAAGATTTTACGGGAATTTCCCAAATACAATAAAGGTCGTAGGTTTGTTACCCAACCAAAGCGTATGGGAGCTAGAAGTTCAGATGAAGAAGGCGGGACAGATTCCTCTCGACAAGGTATTTCTTTGGTTTGCATTTCACAGTCGATGCCAGAACAGTGTCTGTAGCAAAGCCCTCGCGAAAATAACAGTGACATTGTCATTTTCTTTGATTCCGAAGTTCCGTATTTCGTGTCTCATTAGCCTCTTCACTGAATAAGAGCTTTGTTGGATTGTACTCAGGTGTTTGCCAAGCAACAACTAGACCTTATGACAGCTCAATCATGGATGACTGAAGACTTACGGCTTCAAGCTCAGGTGAATACTCAATCTTCTGTTTAATATTGCGACGTGTACCTTATACGAAGGATTAAGAAATACCAAATGCTTAGATTCCATACCAATGTAGTCTTGGGAATTTGCGAGGCTTATTTGCCAATGCCTGTAACTCGGTATCTTGCGCAGCGTGTGGCTGTGACCGCAATTTGCTATCAGCACGTATTGCATTCGAATATGTGATGACAACAGCTTGAACGTGACATAACTTTCATCTCTTTTGGTTGGGTTTGGCTGAGCAGGCAGTGAACCTCAGTGTACAAACAGGAATCCCTTGTGAATATACACGCATGGTCAGTTTTGAGACGACAAAAGAACAACATGACAACATTAAGAGCGACATGAAGAAGGTGCTCACCAATGAATCTCTGAACTTTCCTTTCCCATTCTTGTTTCTTATTTTCCCATCTCATACAGGTAGATAAAAAAAATGCTGTTCCGTTGAATATATCTAATACTGTGTGCCCAGAACAATAACTGGGCCTGTTCAGATATATTGTCTTTTGTTGGCTCTTGTACAGATAGTTCCTTAACAAAGGTTTTCAATTGCAGGGCAAAAAGGTCGATATCAAAAAATATGCAGGAAAGGCAGCTAAGATAGCAATAGTAGGAGGATTAGTCATCGGCTTTGGTAGCATCGCCGCCACAGCTGCAAACATGGCCATCGGTGACATAGGTTTGGGAGGAGGCGACTGGTTTCCAGATTTTGGAGATGGCGGAGATGCTTTCATGTGTTGCGACTGTGGTGCTTGTGGTGATTGTGGTGAATGTGATATTTGTGGTATTTGCGGAGGTTGTGATTTTGATTTTGGAGACGTAGGAGACTGCTTATCAGAAAGCCTTTGCGTATGTGCTGGGGCTTTACTGGATTGTTAGTGCAAATATAACTTCACATTTGTTTCATATATGTGTTGCATCATCTGCCCTTAGACTGCCTGTAGATGATAGAAATTTGGATGAAGCAGAGACGGTCCCAAACGACCTTCATGCATCGATCTAGTGGAGATAGCTCCGGTGTAAGTGGTCAAATGCCAGTGAAATCAATCTAATGCATTTGGAAGCTGCCTGTATCGATAATCAGCTCACTGGATGAATCACTTGACGCTCACCGTCTCATCGGAGCTATGCGTACACTGAATTGTGCTAAGAAAATTGCACATGTACTTCTAGTGGTTTCTCTTTACACGGCTCCCTCATCATGACCTCCATCTAAATAAAGGTCCTGTTCTCCACACGAAAAAGGAGAGAATGATCGTTTGTATCTTTTGATAGGCAGCCGTTGTCCTGCCAACTCTTCATGTAACTACACGATACACCAAGAGTTGTGATGACGAAAACTGTGCTTGATATGATCTCGGTTTCAAGCAATACTCAAACCCACTCACCCAGCGAGTATTTCTCCGTATTTGAACTTTTTTTCTCCCCACAGGCTTGCCGTTTCCGTTTCCGTCGGTTGCCGAAAGTGTTTCAAATTTTGTTGAAACACGCACGATTCAATTTCAAACTGCAAACACGCACGCCTTCATGATAATCGCATGCGACCCGGCATGCTGACCCTGGACGTTCATGGCGAAAGGTGACTCGGATAATAACAGGTTCTGGGCATCTATTAGAACTCATTGTACAAATTCGATCCTGGAGCATGTCAGTTTAGATAGCCGAAAATCTCCTCATTCAGCTGAAATAAAATGTACTCTCAGTGAGGATTTTGTTGGAGTCTTGGTGCGTGCGTGACATAACCAGTGCAGGAAAACACATCGAAAAGCGAAAGTGAATGCAGTTGAGAATTGTGTGAGAAAGCCCTGTAGCTTAATCTCCCTAAGGTTTGTGCTAATCACCTGTTTTGTACCGTCCCTCCGAACATCCCGCGCAACGCTATTCTGACCGATATTTCAAAGATGTTCTATAGCATATTTCGCTACGGATTCTTGAACTATAGCACGCATTCCTGTAATTCACTGCCCTGTGAGTCATGACGAAGATGAGCCCACCTGCTCGAGGCATATTGTTTGAGAGTTAAAATTCTAGAATATAGATTTAAATCCACACAAATTTTGAATAAACGTCATTGATGTTTAATTCAACTTTGTTAAAATTAATAATGTTTAGGGTGCTAAAATTCAGGGTTTAAGAACGTTTAGGTCCGTGTGCCATGTGTATGGGCATAGACATGGCACACGAGATGAAACACCTCATGCTTCGAGTTTAGTAAACTTTTGGCTAGATCAACCACGACCGTGAAGAACTCACCGTAGAGGGCGCACCCTCTAGAATCCGTGGGATGGCATACGGTCGGGGTTGTTCTAGCCTGCAATATAACAACCTCAGCTGCGAAGAGATGATTGGAGCAAAGCGCATCTGAAAGCCAGTCAGTGTTGAACTCCGGCGGAAGCTCGTATACAAAAATCTTGATGTCAAGAGCCAGGATTTTCTGAATGATGAACAAGAAGAACTTTGCGTCAGTATATTTCCAGTTGAGTTTCAGCACACGAATTCAAGTGCGCAATTCCACGTTCATGAGATGTGAAGTCTGTCGACCTCGACGGGTCTCAAGTCGTCGAATGAACCAAGGGTTTACTTCTTGAGAGAGCTGTGGTTCTTAGGAAGTAACGTGAAATGGAGAATCAGTGGAAAAATTGGCCAACGACACTTTCTAGAACTCAGAAATGACTCATTCCTAATTCGAATGGACTCTGGTTTTTTGACTGCGTAGAATAGTGATCTCATGTCGATGAAAGGTTTACGATATGAACTGATTTGTCATCAAGGTGACTTCATTGCTCATTTCAAATCCTTTAACCCGAGCTCGATCTTACCAACAAAGCAGTTGGAGGGTGTTCAAGAACATGCAGAGGCTTAGACGTGCGAGGTTCACAAGGTCACAACTCTCATCAGCAGAATCATTATATATATATATATATATATATATATATATATATATATATCTTCAGAATATCAATCACTTAACTAATGTCAAACAAATGCTCAGGAAATTTTGAGGGCCCGCAAGGCCTTTGGTTGAGAATCAAAAAATGAAGCGTTCTGTAGACTGTAAATCCGAAATATATAGTAAGGATGTGATACATCTCTTGTAATATTGAGACCTATGAAGGTTTGGCTACAAATCATTTCATATAGCCAAACTTGGAATTATTAGTGGTTGGTGCTAGACATCAGAAAAATCATGTTGAGCAAACATCAGTGGGGTGGCCAACAAAAACACAATAGGATTTTTCTCATTTCATATAACGTTTTGTTAGCAGCACTGACTCACAAAATGACCTCGTGATACCTTCGTTGAATATCAGAGAGAAGTTTTCTAATGTGTACGATGTTGTCTGCATCCTCGATCGTTGAGAACAGTTAAGATGGGGATCTGCTGGTTACTTCTCATCTAAAATTATATGCATCTATATATCACAATACCACACTCACTCTTGATTACTCTGTTGTCTTACATATTTTCCATTATTTCATTAGTTTCTCCTGAAGAAATATCGTTCACTTCCCTCTAATGACATTGTCTACTATTGCATGGAGATTGAGTTGATTTGTTATACATTTTGTTTTTTAAGCTAAGGGGACTAGCTCCATGTTTCATGTTGGATTTCTTCCCTGTATGGCTTGGATGGATGTCACCACATTTTGTAGCTGTATTATTTGGCCACTTTAGCCCCAAATAATTGATATTCATTCGCTGAGGTTTTTGGAGGCAGGAAGAAAATGGAATGGAATTTTTACACTTTTGTTGATGTGTCTGCAGGTTCCGCTAGGAAAAGTTGACTCTTATTGGCTTCTGTTTACAGCCGACACATTATATTCACGCGCTTTGCGTGAAAATCAGCAAGTACCTCCAATTTTAACAAGCCAGGCTTTCGACTTCCTTGTTACTCTCAATGGATGTGACGTAAGCTCAACAAGTTGATTGAAATTTGATGACTCTTACGGATCTGTTCAATTGTATATCTACAACACTTTATGACTTATGTGTGATGTCAATGACATGAACATCATGAAACATCATTGTAGCTAGGAAAGCTTGTTTGATGTGGTTGATTGTAGTGTTCCATATGCATCTTCAGTTTTAACCTCGTTCCAAGTTTACTGAGAAGTTGCTTTGAATTTTGAATGATGGCGTACCGGACCTAGGTGGTGTCATCCGAGATTACAGCACATATATAGAGGATGAAGAAAATAGGATAAATTCCCATATATTATTGAAAGCAGTATGCTCGGTAACATTTGATATCTTTGTATATATTTTATACGAATGTTTACAAAGGAAGGCAATGAATATTTAAAAAAGGAAAAAAATCTGAAAATAAGAAATAAGTGTAATTGAACTGATTGCCTTTATGATATCCTGGTTATAATGTCACGGGCATTTGTATACATTTTAACAATACCTTTGAAAAGGTAATTCATTGTAAGTATATATCCCTACTTCAAGTTCTGCTTTTCTATGAAGAATCAGGACTTGGAAGATGCATAGATCTTACTTATACATGACTACTTGAGCTGAATGCAAGTTCAGCAACTTGCTATTTTGTTCCTAGATGCATATCGCAATGTAACCATCGAGTTTAACATGTGATTCTGCCATTTTGAAATATACTCTATGTATCTTCTCTTCAACCACCTTACAAGTGCTAGCCACCCGGCTATTCTCGGTATTCCAACTCATATGCTATGTCAATTTTTTTCTACTTCCTCTTTGTAATATCTTGTGGTTGCAGATCTATCACTTGGCTATGAATGTACTTCTAAAAAGTAGTCAGATCATGTGAAAATAAGTGGGGAGCTTACATCTTGTAGCCGTATTATTTGGCCCCTTTAGCAAATAATTTTAGATCATTTTTTGTTGTTGTGAGATGAGTGGCGATAGGTGTCATCCGCACCATGAAACACTCATGTTGCTCAAACAGAGCTCAACAAAGTTTTACGTCCCGTCCGATGTTAATGCTCTCATAGCTCTACAGAGTTTGTTAATTCTAGAGAAGACGGACGGCTTCGAGTAACCAACAACAAAGGAAAGAAGACCACATCAAGCTCGTTAGTTTAGTGCTTGTCAGAAGGGGTTCCGCAATTGGGGGATGTTTGAGGTACTTTTCACTGCCTTTTTGTTCACAATGTTAGCCGTGCTGAATGTGCATTGCATTCAACTTTGCTGAGTTTGTATCTTGAATGATGCGGATTAAACTCATTGTTTCATTGTTGTTTACAAAGATTCTTATGCTTCGGTTTTTGAAATAAAAATCGTTTGTTTTTAGATTTAGAGATTGAGTTTGTAATAAAATTCTTTGTAATTTTAGATGTTTTTTTTCTTTTCAATTAAATGTAATCTTCATTTAATTTAATTTTTTACAAAATAAATTTACACAATGAATAGTAAAATTCTTGTTCATTCAACTGCTTAAGACATATTCCATGCAGATGATTTGCAATAGACTTGGGAAATGCGTAGTTTTCTTATGGAGAGAGTTTGAATCTCAAGTGAAAAGATAGATGATTTTGTAAATGGTGAAGGCAGAAATGATATTGATTTTAAGACCGACTTTTGGAAAAGACAAACGAATGACAAACCAGGTCCTAAGATTGATTTGATCAAAACTGTAACTTGTTAATGTGCTTTTGAAACATTTAATCATACTTCTTGGATTTCAAACACAATATCCAAAAAAGTCACCTATCCACCTCTTGGTATAGTTGACAGTAGTAGACCGCGATCAAGAAAAATGAATTTCAATGATTATTTAAAAAGAGTATGTATTTGTGACTTTATTGCTACATATTATAAACCCGAACCTGATATTGCAGTTATATATTATAGAAAAAATTATGTATAATTTGTTTGAATGTTTTTATTGTCTGAATTTGTTGATATATATGTTATCATTGTGCAATCGTTATTTATATATATGTATTAATTTTAAGTTAATTTTTACATTTGTATTGCAGAAATCATCGTAATGATAAAGGCAAGAGGTGTCACAAAATAATTGCAAAAAAAAAGTTGTTCCTTGGAGTTTTAAGTGTGCATAATATAGAGCAACTTTTTAGATTGGGTTGGACT